AAATCAACCAACCTATAACAGGAATCTTAAACAACAAACCTGCATGATGAACCATAGGTCAAGTGAACAATGTCGGGCTGGATTTTCACTAGAGACACTGAAGAACTGTACATTGACATTGCAACAAATTGGTTCAGACTGAGTTCTCTAGCATTTGTTTAGCCCTGTAGCCAAATTTTCAACTCTTGTTTGTATTTGTTATGTTAATTACACCACTGAACTTTGACTCAAGCTTTCTTGAGATAGTGTAGTCATCTAAATGTAGACCAACTTGGGAGGATGTTCAATAAAAAACTGAAAGTAGATTTTAGCATTCTGAAAAAGCACTATTTGCAGAGTATTTCTATTTAATGCTCCATCTAAAGATGAAAATAAAATGATGAGTCTTAACCTGCTCCTAGAAGAACATTAATCACCAACACCTATATGCAGACTTTGAGACAAGAAATCTATGAAGGGCAGCTCAGGGTGGTATTACAGGTCAGCAGCTAATGCAGGGAGATGAGAAAGTGAATGGAGGAGAGAGCTGTACATAGCATACAGAAAGATGTCAGTGGGGAACGTCTGTCTTTTAACCTTCAGGGACCTATAAGAAGAATGCATCTGGGGGAATTTCCTTAGAGCCAGTGACGTTAACAGCGTGAGGATAATGTGAAATTGTGACTTATGGAATGACTTTCCTTCCAACTGCCATCGACTGGGGCTCATGACACGTGAACCTATGGGAGAGAGATGCATATTTTCAGGAATATTTTCCTATGGGAATAATTACATAAAAGCTCTCAAACAATGTTTATCTGTAGTGCAGCATGGAGAGGTGCTGGAGTTACTTTGTGCAACAGGAAACTGAAACCTTTTTTATTTCGAGCTCTCTCAGGTATGGTATGGCCATGGTGCACCTGCAGCCATTTCTGCCATGGATCAAGGAATTACCCGGCTTAGACCTACAGTTAAATTTCCAGCACAAGCCTTCATTATGCCTTCCCAGGAAGAATATGCTCACTGTGAGAGAGCACCTCAGAAAGAAAAGAAGAAAAGAGGAAGCTGGAAAATTGGGAGTCATATTTCCCTATGCTGCTTTAGGACAAGCTGCACACAGAAGTCGTCGTTGCTGCTGTTGCTCAACCATTATGCTGTTCCTCACCTACTTCAGCAGCCTACGTACATCCTATGCATTGCAGAAGTTGCTGTTATCACTCCTCTGTCTCATACAAGGTAGCAGAGATGTGAGAGTTTTTGTATGAGTAGCTATTTTAGGCTGAAAACCCCACTACTCTCTGCCAGGTTTGGGTTGTTTTCAACTTGCAGCCCTTTTTTGGACATTCCCCTACCTTCCACTGGCCAAAACCAAAATAAAAGCATGGTCACTCCTGGAAGAGTCACTCAGGAGAAGGGGGTGAGTAGGACAGATCTGAAATGACAGCACTGACCCAGGAGTCCTGCAGGATTCTGGAGTGAAACGGCTGAACTACTGTAGGCACAAGGTTTGTACCTACACAAAGTGGTCCTATTGGCTATCAGTTATCTAAAATGTCTCAGGGGAATCCCAGTGATCTGCAAGCCAGTAAAGGTGACATCCATACCGTGCAATTTCAAGACAGAGTGGGCTCGTGGATAAATGTGGTGCACAAGAAATTAATAAATATGACGTTTATGAAAGGAAGTCACACCTCACTGTTAAGCTAGTGTCAGGGCAGAGTCAAAACATCATCTCCTTGAATCTGCTAGAGTCTCCACTGACTCTCACAGTACAGCTGCCAGTAAAGCTGAGTTGTTATGTAAAACCAAAGCCCTCACATAAGAGCACAACTGGTTAAAAGACAAGAAATAAAGCGCAGGGCTCGGTGTATGGGTTTTGCAGTTGAGTGAGTTTAATCATGAGAAGGCATGCCTAGGCCTGTGCTTTTTAATTTGGCCATCTGAAATTTGCGTAATGTGGTGAACTGTGGAACAATACAGTTTGCTGATGTACTGAGGTATTCAGGATAGCAAAGAGGAGGTCCAGCTGCAGAGAACTGTTAAAGAACTTTAAAATACTGAGTGACAAGGCAATAAATTGGCAGATTGAAATCAGTGCTGATGATTACAAAATTATACACACGAGAAAAAGCAATCTTCATTTTACACACACAATGACAGGTGCTAAATAAGCTGGTGTGTTTGAGGAACAAGATTTTAGGATTTCGGCAGGCAGCTCTGTAGAAAAATTGATTTGTCTGAGTAGTAGTAAAAATGTCAAATAGAAAACTAGCAACCATTAGAAAGGAATTGTCAGAAAACAGAAATCATTATGGCACAGCATGACTGCAGCCTGTTGTATGGCCCTGGTTCCTTATCTCAAAGAGAATACGGGAAAACGTCTCCGAAACAATCAATAGAATCAATAGAAAGGAACAAAGCGATGGCATGGCTGCTGTGTGGGAGACAACTGTGTGCTGAGCACTGCTCAGCCTGCAACAGAGACAACTCAGTGGTGGAGTGAAATGTGAATGTCTAAATGCAGGAGTCACTTGGAGGGATTAGAGAGGCTCTCCTTGTCCCTTCCAGCCCCAAGGTGGGGTGAGGAGAGTGAATATCAGGCTCAAAGTGGGGAGTGTGAAGAGCCATGTGGAGGAGAAGAGAGCATGGACAGAATTAATGTACTGCAGAAGTGGTGCATCAAATACACAGGCTTTCTGAAACAATCAATTTTATCCATTTTTTAAAACCATTTATTTTCCTTTTCTAATTATAACTACCACAGAATAGATGATACCATCTCACTCCTGTGCACACACATCTTTTAGTTCTCCCAGGCTGCATCGCTGGATAAAATTGTACTAAACTGTACAAGTGTCCAGCATTTCCACTGTTTTTGTCTTTGAAAAGATTTAGGGCAGCCATGAAAATCCATTTTGCACTTAAATATAGTTTAGCTGGAAATGCTTTCCTTAGTTGGATATTATGAGGAACGATGCAGGAGATCCAGGACTCCCTTGGATGTGAAAGAAGATCTGACAAGCTTTCATGTTAAATGTGTTTCCCCTCATTTGTATGGTACACAACTGAGAGGAAAAACAAGCTCTTGTGAAGTTGTATTTTTATGGTGTTCTCATCTACCACATTTATCACATTAATGGAACAAAAGTGGGAACAGCTGGTTCAGAACTGGTCTTACAGACTCACACTGGCTATGGAAGGCTCAGAGGAGATCCAACACGATGTGCCTGAGCAACTACCTGCCCCCAAAACCACCAGCTATTTGAGCCAGATTTGTTGGGGTAGCAACAGGAATATTCTGATGACAGAGCAGAGAATGGCGTGTTGCATGGGTATGGGCAGCTGAGGGAGGATGGATGGGCAAATGTTATCTCTGTTGGATGTATAGCAGTTGCCTTTAGTTGTTTCTGGTGGAACCCTTTGGAAAGGAGTGGAAAGAGATAGAGATTTCAGTTTGTAGTCTAATAAAACAGGGAATTTCCCTTTGAGCTCCTAACCAGTTCTGGCTGTAAACTCCAAAAATTCATTTACGCAGGAGGGGCAGGGAGACTCATTGTCTCACTGTTAGTGTCTAATGAAACTTTGGTTTGTTCCTTCCCCTTCCTTTGTACAGAAGCTGCTGCAGCTGGCTTTGCTTCCCTGGAGGACAGCTGTTTGTTCCCTTTTCAGTAACACCTCGTGTAACAGTACATACACAGAAAGATGCATTGCCTATGTTAAATGCATACTGAGGCTCCTCATGTGTAGTCCATAAACTGGAGAAATCCCACAGCATTATATCACTTGCATGTCACAAACATATGCATGGCTGTGATGAGTACAAACAAGAACAGCTGTTTCCTTCAAAATCAATTCAAGTCTCCAGGATTACTGAGTCACTTTGTTATGACTATAGAATGGGGTCATGTCTTACACCAGGGGAAACAACTGGGCCCGAGGAAGTAGAAGAGGCTGCAGCAATTGCAGAGAAACCCATTGGGTTTATTGCAATTAAACTTTGGGCACAATGATGTGTTACAGCTTCAGCTTATAGATTCAGCCAAAGTTTGGGGTGGATTGGAAGTCTCATGTTGGCAGGAATCCCAAAGAAAACCTGCCCTGTTCCCAGTCAGCTCAACCAGTCTGCCCCTAGATCATTTATTTGGTAGCACCCTTGAGTCCTGGGAAAATTGGGAAGTCTCACAAACTCCCCTCCCCAGCCCCAAGCCTAAGCCTGTGGGACTATTCAAATCCATTCCCAGACTTTGGGCAGAGAGAAGGAACTGAAATATGTCTTCATCCACCTGTCTTTTGTGACGACATCAAGGAAAATTGGAATTCTACTTTTCACAGAGATTCTGGCGAATAAAAGCTCAAGAACATTTAATTATTTTTTTCCTTTCTTTATTTAATATCCAAATTTTAAGAAACTTCCATTATGAAATCCAAAATTTTAAACAATACTCAAGTACAAAAATACAGACCTTAAGATAAAATCTTCCATACTGCCACTTCCAAATAAATAAATTGATGTCAGACACACTTAGATGATTCAATACAAAAAAGTACAGAGACGTTCATATAAGTGAGTTGAAGTTAAGTCAGTGCAATAGAGTTTGTCACAATTCCTGTAGCTGCCAAGTAGCCTGGCCTCTCAGTTGCTTCAGTGCATAACAATAATTATCAACAATAAATCACCCAGATCCCAGTTCAGAAAAGTGCTTCAGCATTTTCTCACCTTAACACAAGTCTATTTCCTTGATTTGGATTTACAAATGCTTTGAGCTGAGCAGATATGAATGGGTTTTCCTGAGTGCAGTATCAACGGCAATTCAGTATTTCCACACAGAAACTTGGTAAACATTACCTCATTCAGTATTTTCAGGTCAACAAACATATAACAGAGAGACAGGATTTTAAGACAAAATTGTTTCTTACATTGCAGTAGGAGGTATAAATACTTTCATTGTTTGTTTTTTGTTTAAATATAAATAATTATTTAGAATACTTAAATATTAATAAATAAATGTATAAAAGCTCAGTAAAAAAAAATTAAAAAATAAAAATTGTGCATTGTAAAATTTAAAATAGTTGAGCACATAAGATGCCATTAGCAGCTGCATCTCCTCTGAGACTGGCTCCTTTTCCTTTTGGAACTCGGAGGATCCACCAGCTTCTGTAAGACGCTGAACAGCTCATTTGCAGCCTTGCGCTGGATTCTCAAGTCATTCATCTGTTTTGAGCAAGAAACAGACAAAACAAAGGTCACACCATGAGCTGTATTTATTTATTTTTGGATTGCATCCTTCAGACTAAACTGCTAATGACACAGAACAGAAACTGGAAGCTTTCAGTTATTCTACCGCCCGGTTCCTGAAACTAAGAACAGCTTTTTCACAGATTTCTGTTTTCTGCCTTCTCTGTTACTTTGCAGTGTAACAGACCAAGCACATGTTGTGCAGTGAAGGTACTCTGTGATCATTGCTGGTTTGTGATGTGTCTGCAGTACCCACCAGCAGCCAGCTCCTTCAGGGAGCAGAGGTTGGTGGCTCACACCACAAGCACTCATCCAACAAGCTGGGTGACCCAGAGCCCACAGAAATGTGCTGTAGCCAGATAGATATGACTTTTCCAACCCAATTTCTAATCACCAGGAGCAGCTGCCAGTGCCTCTATGCCAGGTTCTGGCAAGGCTCAGGGTGAGCAGCCCCAGTGCGATTCCCCACACGCAGTGGAAACATCACACTTTCCAGCCCAAGTGGAGCCAGCCGGGGGTTACCAGGTGCATTACCAAACCAACACTGTCCTGTGTTAGGACTTTAAACTGGAAAACAGGGTCACAAGTGCCTTGGAGGCAGACGAAGAGCCTTACCCGAAGCTTTGCCAGGTCCATGATATCTTTCACCTTCTTAACGCCATCAGGAAGGTTGTTTTTCAGAGTGTAGAGCTCCTCAGATATGTGTTTGATGTGCGGCTTTGACTTGTCAGTGTTTTCAAGCATTTCCAAGTACATTGAAACAATCTGGCTCAGTATGATCCTTTTTTCGTTTCTCTGTTGAAGAATGCGGTCAAAAAGAAAGGTCTTTGAGTGACCATCAAAAGGAAAACTAAAATCCAATGTTCTCTCTGCCTCTAGCGACATGACAAAGAAGATGCTGTAAGTCCTCTCTGGGGCTTGGCTGTACCTCAGGATCAGTTCATGGTGCAGCATAAAGCACACTGAACTTTAAGAGATGCGTTTTAAGGGAAGCTGCTTTCTCATTTTCGAGCTACTGGAGCAGCCTCTGCTTGTGTTCTCTCTGCCCAGGCTAAGTATACTGGCCTTGGAGCTGCTTTTTACCAAAAGTGCCCTTCAGAGCACATGAGATGTTTTCTGACTCACCTCTGTCCAGTTCTTCAGTTTCTCTACAATAATAGGTCCACCGTCAGCTACATCTGAATGGCTTGAGTTCTGCAACAGAGAACATAAGCATCTGTTATACAAACACTATTTATTGCAAGGCAAATAGTGCTCTCCATTCAAATGAACAGTAAAAAACACAGACACATGATTTTGGCACCACTAATGTGTAATTGTTGCAATGCTTTGGCTTCTGAGCTACTTTGCAAAGAGATTATCTAAGCACTAAATCACATTAGGTGACTATATAGTAACAAAAATCCCATTAGTCTTCTTCTAAATGTAATCTTCTGATACAGCTTATGAACAGAGCCTTTCGCCACCATATTTTACCGAATGTTCTCTGTCAGCTTTGTTATTGACAGCTGAGAATTAAACTTATTAAGCCCAGCAGCTGGCTAGGCATTGTCAGATGTGGTCGCACCTGCAGGCTCGAATTCACCCTGTCTCAGTAAAATCTTACGTGGAACAAAGAGGAACTAGCTATAAAACTGTACTATAAAACTACCATTTGCAAAACTGGAGAATAGCCCAGTAGCCCACAGTCAGATACAGGGATATGTAAGAGCTGTGGGCTACCAAGAGGTTGCAGGGTCAGAGTTTAACCATCAGGTGTTAGCCACACACTGTGACAGGCTCTAGGAAACAGAGAACAGTACAATTCTCCCACCAAGGAAGGGCAAACTTAATCATTTCCTTTTCTATGTTTTGTCTTTCTTTTTATATACAACAGCTGCTATTTCCTTTTTCGTCTGCTTGGTAATTTAAATACCGTGAGTGTAATGGGAAAGCTGCAGGCTGACGGTAACCCCGCAGGCTGATAGGCTGCTGGTGCTGAGCACTTCGCCGAAGCTGACTCTGCAGCATCTGCTGCCGACTGCAGCTTTTAATTTCTCTGCCAGAAGCTCATCACCACTTTGGATCTCTCAGACCGAGTTCTACATATTCTAGTATGAACGTCTCTTATCTGTACTAATGACAAATTTAGGATATAAGGCCGATTTTACAGCAGGTCTCCTGGCAGTTTGGAATAATAAAGTATTAAACCACATCTCTGAGGTGATTCATTGACTACTAAATCTCAATTTTCACATGCACAAAATCCTGAAAAATCAGAGCTGGAAATAGGAGCAGACTCTTGCTGTGATTTTCATGTGATTAAAGAAAAACAGAAACAAAACCAAAGGTATATTAAGATGAAAGATTAAGATGAAGTGCCGCTACTGTAGATCTCTTATCTCTATGACTAATCCCAGCTGAAGTCAGCTGTGGACTTCTTCAATGCCTCCTAGTTGAAGACAGGTGAATTACTATTACAGTCATTAAGTTATCAAACTTCTGTCTGAAAACAAGTTACTATCACTTAACACTTCCACACCAGACTATAGTCACAGACATGAAATCAGGGTGGCTGGAGGTTATTCAAGTGGCAGTAAAATGCATCTGAATAGAATTGACTCAAGATTCATTCATAATAAACTGTATTAAGATTTAATTGTAATAAAATATTTCATGAATTCAAAAGCGAATGGAGCTGGGAGATGCTCTTGTGAAAGGTGGAGTGTCCCTGAAATAAATACAAACTGCTGCATTAACAGTCACTGTATGAAAAACTGAAAGAAGAATTGAATCATACTAGTGAGAGAGCAAAAGCTGACAAAACCAAAGAAACTGACCATATTATTGTAAAAAAGAAAAAAAAAAAAAAAGTAACAGAAAAAATAATTCTATAATCACCCTATATTATATACTGATACATGGTGAGGTCTAGGACAAGCAGTTCTCTGCAGCACTACTGCATTTATATCTATAGCACAAGAAGCAGAAGTAGGAGAAAAATGCAGTAGAAGGCAATACTTACAAAGTCAGCTTTCAGTTTGTCTATATCATCTTGAAGTTGAACAAGATTTAGACTACTTGCAGTATGTCCATAATAGATCATAATGACAGACAGAACAAACAAGTTGTAAGTCTGGCAAGTCATCTTCTTGGTGATGGCTCAGTTCAAATGCTCAGATAACTTCTGAGATATAAGCTCAGTGATCTTCAGCTTCTAATAGTTATATCTTCTATTAGAAGAAAGTAGACGAATGAACTTCATCTGCCTGTTAGTGGTATTTATACCTTGTCTTGAAATTTTTTTATTTCGTCATCACAGGCTGTATATATTTAGCCAAGATAGTGTTAGATAAGATTTTGCTATGGGCTGGCTGAGAGAATCCCTCGAAAGTGTCTTAAAGCATGGTCCTGGAAAATGTTTCAGTGGTTCATCAGAGGGTAAAATTTACGTGGCAATTTCTGAAGTTTCTTTTACCCGTGGTGGGGAAGAAGAGGGAAATTATGATACTGATTGAGGAGTATTCCTTGTGGCTCAGGCATACTCTTACAAGCTATCTGAAAAATCATATCATGTGGTTAAGGGGTCAATATAACTGTCAACTATTTCTGGTATTCTTTTAAAGTAACCACTAAGACTGCTGTGGCATATATCAGAATCATTTTAAATTTTAAATCTCCTTAGTGCTGTCCTTTCATGAAACACTAATTTCATTCTTTCCATAGTCTAAAGTCTGTTCTAGCTCTTTCTCATTATTTACCCCTGAATTCAAACTAGACTTAAAGAAAAAGAGGTTCTAGCATTGATGCAATGGTATATTAAATATATCTATGATTCCCAACTATCTGCAAAAACAGGATATTTTCTACTCAAGGCACTCATCTGTGTCAAGTGCTGTAAGTGCACTTGGAGTATTGATGCTAGACAATATCCTTATTGGCTTTAACTTGGAAAATTAAAGCAAACTAAGAAATGACTTAATTGCCGAAAGTGTTGCCATGGATGATTGTAGTTCCTCACCTGCATATTAACTTGCATTTACATATGGGAAATATGCAAATAGAAGAATGTTGTTCAAAAAAGCCCAGTGGAAGCAGACAAACAGGATGATCTCCAACTGTATATAGACACTCAACATATCTGTTGAAGGTTGTTGGAGATGGGGTTCTTGTGTAGGCACTGAACTCTGCTTTGAGGAATATCATTAGGTTTAAAAAAGCTCACTGTGCAGTTTTATAATGAAGTCAGAGTAACTTCAGGCTGTAGTAAATGAATGCAGGATGGGTATTAGATTCATGAGAAAAAGAAAAAGAATCTCATAGGAAAAAAAGCAAAAGAGAGAGGATCAGGAAGGAGGAAGACGTGGGCTCAGTTCACACAGTCCTCAGCAGAGGATATCTGTAGCCCATGAGAAACAGAAAGGGACTCAAAGTGGCTACCAACAAGAGTGATCTGAGCTCCCCAGCACAGTCCTGGATGGGTCTTCAAATGTTCCTTACAATAAGTTGTCCCCTTCCTCTACAGCACTTCCAACCTCAAGAAATGGCCATTAATTCTATTAGTAGTTTTTTATCTGCAGGTTGAAAGAAGATCTCCATGTTCAGGGTAAGTCTAGGCTGCCATGACCACTGCAAACAGAGAATTGCCATTTTGCTGACAGAAGATGCAAATCCCATCAACACTGACAGGCCCAAAATCTACACACAAAACTCCCTGGGAACCTCATCATATCAAGATGGCATGCATCTCACAACAGAGACAGTACTGCACTGTTATGGCAGTAAGTGCACTTGGAGTATTGATGCTAGACAATATCCTTATTGACTTTAACTTGGAAAATTAAAACAATTTAAGAAATGACTTAATTGTCAGAAGTGTTGCTATGGAGGTGAGGTGATAATGCTAATCATGACTATTCAGTGACTCCACAAAGCGTAGCACAAAGATAAAGTCATCATGCTAGAAATACAAAGTGAACTAACGTGCAACACAATAGCAATACCAGACTATCAAGGCCAGGCTGGATCAGGCCCTGGGCAACCTGATCTAGCTGTGTGTGACTTTGTTCATTGCAGGAGAGTTGGACTAAATGATCTTAGAAGGTCTCTTCGAGCTCTAAGGGTTCTGTGATTCTATGATTTTTGATTGTATCGGTGATGTGAAAATATCTGGATTGTTTTGCAAACCAAGCAAGGACAAAATGCATGTTGTGGCACTGCTAAAGATAGGTATGGGTTTGTATGAATGGGAAAATTAAGAAAATTTTACAAGACAAGAGACACGTGCTGAAGGATATCAACTGGACATGAGCCACTGGAGAGATTCTTTGGCAAAATGTTGGAAAATAAATGTCAACGGCATATGGAAAGTGATTCCTGTTACATATGGTGCTCTTTAAACTGTCAGAAACATACAACTGCAAGAGGGACTGGGTCATCAAGTCCGATTCTTTTCCACATGTCCTAATTTGAATAATGGCATTCTGTTGAATTACATATGTGTAAAGAAGTGCTGCTAGGAGGGTAAACAGTTTGGAGCCATTTACTCAAACAAATTACAACATAACTGAATGCAATTAATTGCTGTAATGAACCAACCAGGCAAAAGGTATAATCCCAGGAGATGAAAGCTGAAGTCAGTAACACTGTCTTCCTCTGCAGATAACTACTTACACTGCATCAGGTTAGACTGCTGTGTTAAGCATACCAAACATGCATTTTTATCCACAGGAGAGTCCCTTCCCTTTGATCTCCCATTCCTGAACAGAACATTAAGTTGATTTTTTAAGAATAATAGGAGTAAGAAATACCAGAAAGGAAGGATTGTTCCAGTGCACATTTTGTAGATGCTGGTTGGAAGTTCTGGGGATTTATATAGCTGATTTCATCACTAGATCTCATCGCATTTCAGAGAAGACCGCAATCAAACAAATATCTAATTTTCCAGTTAAGAAAATGGAAGCAAAGAGCAATGGGATTTGGCATCTAGGAAATGCAAATCTAGGAACACAAACAATATCTTCCAGTTTCAGTCTGGTCCTTTGCCCACTAATTATCACCATTAGTATTATATCCTAAACTGAGACAATAAATTGAAAAACAATATCAAAGAAGAAGAAATTCATTACATATAGTTTTGACATGCTATCTTCTGAGTTCAGGTCTGACTTCCAGGTACCAGTCTTCCAACTATCAAAGTTATATTCCTATTTCAGAACTTCTATTCATCACCACATTTGAATGATCGGAGAAACATTTGAATATTCTGTGGTAAATGCATAATCTGGTCACAGGACAGAAAATGTATTCTAACATAAAAATTCTTTTACATTTGAATAAGTTGTGCCATGTTAACATTTACTTGCTTTTATCGTAACTTTCTTTTCTATTAGCACATGCCATCACCTCTCCAAATCACCTTGAAATTAAACATTTTTTAAGCATTTTTCATTTTGCTGCTTGGAAATCTTCTGATTCTTTGTGCAAAGTAGAGGCTTCATATCCTTTTGTTCAGGCGATGCCTTACATCTCTTACCCAATTATTTCCTTGCACAATCATGTCAGATTTCACTCTGACCACTGACTGAAGCTTTTCTCTTTTTATTTTATGTGAAATCTTCACTTTGCTTACTAAGTAGTTACAAAGGAACTACACTTACTAGGCCAGATCTCTGACAGACTTTCATTTCTCTAAAACTCAGTATCTCTTTCTATTACCACTGCACAAGGAAAGCAGCCCAGGGCTGGAAAACCCATTCTGACCTGGTATAACATTCCATTCTTTGTTTTACTTTCCTATAAGGTAGAAGTAATTCTTTCTGTTCGTCTTCTACAATGCTGGGGGCAGTAAGCAGTCTAAGTGACTGAAGTTTTACACGCTTTATACCAGCACTACATGATTTCTGAATATTATTATTCATTTTACAGCTATCTATCTGCAAAGAGGATGTCTTGGCAATCAGACTTCATGGCTTTGTAACTAGCCCTTGTGAACACTGAGAGACTAACATTTATCTCTACCATCAAAAGAAAGAAAGAAAGAGAAATAAAGAGAGAAAGGCTTCGTAAGTTAATCTTTTTATTATTTTGGAGGGGGGAATAAATTCTGAAATTCTCAAAATTATCTGTTTTGGCATTTTCTAATCAAAATATTATATCCTACACATTCCAATTACTTTTTAGAAATGTTGTTTGAGAAAATTAAGGAAACCTGATTGTACCATCCTGGAATACATCACGGGGAAGATCCTTTAGCCTCACGCTCCTGCCTGCACACGGTTGGCTTCGAGAAAAAATATATCATAAGTGTTTTATTTCTTTCACAAAATTTCTCACACACATTAGCTGATTAGTCTTCTGAAGAAAGGGAAAGAGGAGAAAACTGACACCCAGCAGTGACAGATGTTCAGAAACAGAGATGTCCAGCTACATAATTAACTTGTGGTTACTATTTTAAGTGTTTAGAGCCTGAGGTAAAATAAATTAGAAACATGGTACCTTGAATAACACAAGACTTTTGCTTCATACTTCCCTTCAGAATTTCTATTTGGTAACCCCATGTGGGATGAAAAAAGTTTATGAGATGGGAAAGGCTTTCCCCATGAAATACCAGTGATGAAATAGTAAGAGGAAAGAACTGTCCCCTCATGGTCCCTAATTCACTCTGTAAGAAGAGGAAATCAAGTTTCTGCTTTGCTTGGGTTGTGCCTTGAGAATATATCCTCTTTTCCCTGGGCCAGCAATAGCAAAACTCAGAAACTGAATTAAAGCATTTTTCTAGAGAAATACAGAGATGACAATAAATATAAAACAAGCACAACATGCTGTCTCCCCTGCCTTTCTTTGAAAGACTGTTGAGCTGAGGTGTGTAAAGAATTCTGAGGTTAGAAAGTGGGACCTACAACAAAAGTTGTGACATTGCTGATTGCTCAAGGACACAAATATATAATGGGCACTGAATGGTCCTCCTTGTTCCTCGTGCTTTGGTAGAGGTTGATACAAACTACTTTTTAGCTCTCCAAAAAAACAGTCTGCATGTAGGCATGATTAAAACTTTCTGAGTGACCAGCAGGAAATAGCCATGAGAAAGGCAGATGCAGTCCTAAAACAAGTGTTTTTTCTTGTAATGAAGTATGGAAAATAATAATGGCAGTATAGAAGGCAATGACAGTGAAACAGTGCAGGTTTTTACTTCATACTAATACAGCCTGGAGTATTTTCACATATCCA